CACACACACACACACACACACACACACACACACACAGCAGCTAAGAGTAAACTCCTAGGGTCTCCATCACTGATACCTCCAAACCTGCATGACACTTCTCACTAGCACTGCAGGGCTCTTCAGCTCAGGTTCCTGCTGTACCAGGCAGGGGAGGGGCTTTACAGCAACTGCTATAGCTAACAACACTGTATCCATTTGTCATGTGGAAACTTCACAGGCAAACAATAGGTTCAACCAGCCTAAACTAAGCCCTATTCAAAAGCAAGTTTGCCCTTGGCTAACCTTGGACTGCACTGCGGGGATGCCTACATAACTGGCAAACACACCAAAAGTCATGAAACTATTCTTTTAAACAGGCAGGTGATATGCCATATTCTCAATAAAGTTGAAACTTAATATAGAATGTACACAAAAGAATTTTCTTTTTTTGTTTTTGCTGGTCATGGGGCCTGAACTCTGGGCCTGGGCGTTGTCCCTCAGCTCTTCAGCTGTAGACTAGCGCTCTACCACTTGAGCCTCAGCCCCACGTCTGGCTTTTTCTGCTTATGTGGTGCTGAGGAATGGAACTCAGGGCCTCATGCATGTGAGGCAAGCACTCTACCACTGAGCCACGTATCCAGCCCCATTTTTCAAAACAGTGCTGGGAAGGTGGCTCAGTGGTACAGTGCTTGCCTCGCATGCATGAGGTCCTGGGTTTGATTCCTCAGCACCACATAAGCAGAAAAGGCCAGAAGTGGCGCTGTGGCTCAAGTGGTAGAGCACTAGCCTTGAGCTGAAGAACTGAGGGACAGCACCCAAGCCCAGAGTTCAGGCCCCTTGACGGGCAAATAAATAAATAAATAAATAGCATGCATTAGGCTGCCCTAGTAATACAAGTCTGTAATACCAGCACTTGGAAAGCAGGTGGATCACAAGTTTGAAGCCAGCCTAAGTGGGCTTCACTAGGAGACTTTGCCCTCAGAAAAATAAAACAACAACAAAGCATGTATTAGTCATTAAGAGCTCAGTGTATGCCAAGAATTACCAAATCTAAAAGGAGAGTAGGAGCCAGGACTGGGTGGCTAAACACCTATAATCCTATTTACTCAGGAGGCTGAGTTGGAAAAATCATGGTTCCAAGCCAGTCTACACAGGAAAGCCCATGAGACGCTTATGTCCAATTAACCACCAAAAAGCCGGAAGTGGAGCGGTGGCACAGGTGGCAGAGTGCCAGCCTTGAGCAGACAAAGCTAAGGAATACCACCCTGGTCTTAAGTTCAAGCCCTAGGACTAGCACAAAAAAAGTGCAGGTCAGCCAGTGGGCAACACTGTTGACCAGAAGAATGACAGTACACTGGGCACAAGACAGGGTCAGTGTCCAGGGGCAACTGGGTGGGGCTGACAAAACCAATAGACAAGTAGTCTACTGAAGATGTTGTTGGATAAACTTCCAGGCAAATGAAGCCAGTCCAATGGAGGCTGGATTCTGGATAAAGAAGCACAGAAAAGGGCTAAGAAAGTGGCTCAGTGGTAGAACACTTGCCTTGCATGCCTGAGGCCCTGGGTTCAATTCCTTAGCACCACATAAGCAAAAAGAAAAAAGCCGGAAGTGGCGCTGTGGCTCAAGTGGTAGAGCGCTAGCCTTGAGCTGAAGAGCGGAGGGACAGCACCCAGACCCAGAGTTCAGGCCCCACAACCGGACCAAAAAAAAAGCAGCACAGAAAAAAACCACAGCTGACCTAGCATACAGAGCTTCACAGTCAGGGTGCCACTAAATGGTGTCCAGAATGAACAGACATACAAGCCTGAACACCACCCAGCACAACACAGCCTAGCAGCAGGGTGTACCTGGCCAAGCTTCCTTGTGCTTCTAGAGAGCCCAGACACTGCCACGGATGGGACTGTCTGATTCCACAAGGACAGAAACAGGAAAGTGGGGTTAGAATCATGGCTCGGTTGGTAGAGCACTAGCTAATGAGTGAAAGTGTCAGATACTAAGTTGAGTCCTCATCTCAGACCAAGAAAGAAAGAAGCAAGGCAGGAATATTTACTTTGAAGGGGAAAATATTTAGAAAATAAGCTGGCAGCTTCTTAAGGAAGTCACTGTGCTTACAAGTTGCAGCTAGTAAAGGTCCTTGTCCAGAGCTGGCTCAGTACCTGTCTCCTGCCCACAGCGGAGAAGCACTGCCTCCTTCTCCCGCGCATGCTGCTCCCTCACCAGCTCCAGTTCACACTGCTGCCGGTTCTGCAGCAGTGCCAGCTCCTGTGCCCGCCGGCCGTTGAGCATCTCCCGCAGTTCTGACAAAGCTGTCTCCTTCTCCTTCTGCAAGTTGGCCTGTGTCAGCTCCAGCTGTGCTGTGTGCATGTTGTTCAGGCTCAAGCGCAGTGCTTCCAACTCAAGGGTAGGCACTGTCTGTGGGTAGAAAAGCCAGGCCTGATGAAGGCCAGGCTTGGAACAGGGCAATACCAGGAAGCATAAGCCAGAAACTAACCAAGGGGCAGGGGAGAAACGTGACACAGGAGGGTGATGCCCACTCTCTACAATAACATGTGTCCCCACACTAGTGGTTAATCATGCAGCCTCCGCCAGCACCCACCCCTCCCTAAAACTTCTCTCATTAGATTGCAATTTGTAGCAAGTGTGGTCAGTTCATCTTTCACAAAGTCTGGCATGTGCCAGACTCCTTGCCCTTCTATCTGCCCTGGAAAGGGCCTCAAACAGAATGGAAACAAAATAGAAGAGAAGGCAGCAAAGGCACAGCACTACTGTATATTCTCAGATGCATCTCCCCATCTGCAACCCTCCCTAGTTCCCAAGACCTGATGAATCCTGGTGTGAATAATAGAGTATACTTTTCAAACTTGTGAGGGCTGAGAGCCCAGGCCAGGCCATGTGGATCACCTGAAGTGACTGCTGCTGCTGCTGCTGCTGGCCAGCCCCATCCTTAGGTCCTCTCACCAGTTCATGATCTTGTTCTTGCTCCTAGGAAAAGAAAGCGAAGGATGTGGCCCAGAGAATTCACAGGAGCAAACTATCACTGGAAGAGGGGGCAACTGCCAATGACTATGAGGTTTCCTACTAGGGTCATGAAAACATCTGGAAGTAGATAGACAGGTGCTGTGCAACACTATCCTGTCCTAAAATCTACTAGCATGTATTAAAGTGGTGAATCTGTCATTACAGGGAAGTGAATGGACCTAGAACAAATCAAGTGAGGTAAGCCAAGCTCAGAGACAAATGGTGCATGTATTCTCTCATATGCAGAAGCTAGATCTAAAATACTCAAGGATATGATAAACTATACAAGACTCTAGGCATTCACATACAAAAGAGGATATTCTTAGGGGAGGAACAAAAAAGTGCAATGTCTATGTGCTTCTTATCTTATAAAATAATATTTACTGAATACAAGTTAATTTTAAGGTATGTAAGCTGTATTTACATTAAAAATTATGGAAAAACATCCAATATATTCTATAGTCCTGACACCAGCCAGCACATTAACATCCAGGCCTCTTTAGCCATAAGAAGTGAGAAGTGATACCAACAAAATAAAAAGCATGCATAAATTGACTGGGAAAGGCAACAAATGCTGAACCAACATGAGATGCAATTTTATTTATTTATTTATTTTGCTAGTCTTGGGTTTCAACTTAGGGTCTGGGAGCTGTCCCTGAGCTTCTTTTGCTCAAGGCTAGTGCTTCACCACTTGAGCCATAGCCATAGTTATTGAAGATAAGAGTCTCAAGGACTTTCCTGCCCAGGCTCTCTTCGAATTGCGATCCTCAGATCTCAGCCTCCTGAGTAGCACTAACCACCAGTGCCTGGCTGAAGATATAACTTTCAAAGAAAATTTTACACCCACTAAATCAGCAAAAGTTGTTGCAAATACTATTGATTCTCAATGCCATTGAGAAAAAGCTAAGGGATAGTGCCGAGGTCCTGAATTAAAGCCAAAAATAAGTTCAACATTTTCCTTTCTTAAGAACCATTCCAGGGCTGGGAAGGTGACTCAATGGTAGAGCGCTTGCCTTGCATGCATGAGGCCCTGGGTTTGATTCCTCAGCACCACATAAGCGAAAAAGAAAAAAGCCAGAAGTGGCGCTGTGGCTCAAGTGGCAGAGCGCTAGCCTTGAGCTGAAGAGCTGAGGGCCAGCACCCAGGTCCAGAGTTCAGGCCCCACGACTGGACCCAAAAAAAAAAAAAGAAAGAAAGAACCATTCCAGCCCGGTGCCAGTGGCTCACACCTGTAATCCTAGCTACTCAGGAGGCTGAGATCTGAGGATCAGGGTTCAAAGCCAGCCTGGGCAGGAAAGTCCGTGAGACTCTATCTCCAATGAAAAACCAGAAAACCAAAGTGGTACTGTGGCTCAAGTGGTAGAGCACTCGCCTTGAGCTGAAGAGTGCAGGGACAGCGCCCAAGCCCAAAGTTCAAGCCCCATGACCAACCAAAAAAAAAAAAAAAACCATTCAAAGCCAGGTATGATAGTACACACCTGTGATCCCAGTTACTCAGGACAGAGGAAAAAGGATCATAAATTCAAGGCCAGCCAAGGCAAATTAGCCAGACCTTATCTCACAAGTAAAAATATAAACAAAAGGATTGGGGGTATTCAAGTGATAGAGCACTCACCTAGCATGCTCAAGGCCCTGGATTCAATCCCTAGTACCAAAAAAAAAAAAAAAAAAAGAGCTATCTTGACACCAAAACACAGAATACCTCTGTCTTCATATTCCCACCACAGGAACGCTTTAGCAAGCTATCTAAAGGAAAAGGAGCAGATACAGGCCTGTGTCTCACAGAACTCCCATAGAAGCTGCAGCCCTGTGTCTCACAGAACTCCCACCAGGCTCCTGCTGTCCCTCTCTGACCTTGAGGCCAGTCTCTTAGGGCTTCCCTCAGGTAATACATTGCCCTACCAGCACATCAGACTCAAAACGAAGCTAACTCCCCTTCCTGCAGTAACTAGGGAACTGTGCTGGGGCAGTGTGCCTTGATATGGCCATAGACCTCTAGAGAAAACTCACTGTGGAACCAATAAGGCAGGGAACTGATCTGGAGAGTGGGAGATACCAGGCAAGAATTCAAGACAGTGTGATGAGATTCCTCCAACACTGGGGTCCTTCACGTTCTTGGTCTTGGTCCCAGTCCTGTTCCCACCACCATGTCAAGCACTAGTCCTGGTGTCTGTCCATCCTACAAGTCATTGTGGTTCCCATGGCTCTCTACCCACCTCCTCTCTTTGCTCTCTTTGATTCCACTGAGAGCCTTTCTGGCCCTGGTGATCACAACCAGCCCAGCAGAGCCCATATCGCTCTTCATTGCAGCCACTCTTGACAGGAACCAGATACCGGCCAGCGACTCAAAGCTCAGCACTAACCCAGTAGGCACCAGGTCAGGTGTCAGCATGACTCTAAAACCATACACACAATGCTTACCTGTCCATGAAGGCAATGATTTAGAAACAAAATTTTTCATATTAGGAGGAAGAGAGTCAGGTACCATTGTGAAATCCATTTCAACTGGAGCTTTCTCTCAGGAAAAGTCAGATGCCATCTTAGAAATGAAAGCACAATCTTCAAAACTGCTACAGAAATGAATGGAAATGACCTGAAATGCTCCTAAGGGATTCCTCACATACTTGATGCGACCTGAAGCTCAAAAGCCCTGGATACCAGGAGGAGCCACTTGGACACAGACATCTAGGATTTCACCCAAGTCCAGAGCACTTAGAAATGGAGCCTCTGAGTATGCCACACTCCCAAAAGGCCCGTGCCAGGATGCAGTGAATGAACACATCTCTGATCATGGGACCAGCAGGAATGAGGGAGTCAGGAGAGTTTAGCCAGTTTCAAAAGTACAGATCAAGTCTACTTCTTCTTCAAAATGTAAACTAAGGCCTCTAATATCCAGAACATACAGAGAACTTAAAGAACACTCAGGCTAGGAAGGTGGCTCAGTGGGAGAGTGCTTGCCTTGTATGCATAAGGCCCTGGGTTCTATTCCTCAGCACCACATAAGCAGAAAAAGCCACAAGTGGCGCTGTAGCTCAAGTGATAAGAGTGCTAGCCTTAAGCTGAAGAGCTGAGGGACAGCACCCAGGCCCAGAGTTCAGGCCCCATGACTGGCAAAAAAAAAAAAATGGCTGGGAAGTTGGCTCAGTGGTAGAGTGCTTGCCTCGCTTGCATGAGGCCCTGGGTTCGATTCTTCAGCACCACATAAGCAGAAAAAAGCCAGAAGTGGTGCTGTGGCTCAAGTGAGTGCTAGCCTTGAGATGAAGAACTGAAGGACAGCACCCAGGCCCAGAGTCCAGACCCCATGACCAACAAAAAAAATTTAAAAAATTTTTTTAAATGTTGGTGCCCATCCTGGGGCTTAATCAGGGCCTGAATACTGTCCTTGAGCTTTATTACTCAAAGCTAGTCTTCTACCACTTAAGCCAGCTCTTTCCTGCTTGGGCTGGCTTCAGACCACAATCCTTACATCTCAGCCCTTTGAGTAGCTAGGATTACAGGTGTGAGCACTGGTGCCTGGCTGACCAATCATTTTTCATAATCACATACACTCACACACCCATACATTCCCCCCCCCCACCCACACACACCTAGAAGAAAGATTTCCTGGAGGAGACAGGGCAAGATGACAGACTGTATCTGCTGTTTTTCAAAATAAGAATCTGGTGACATAAAGAGATTCGTCAAAATTCTGAAGAGTAGAAGAGAAAAAAAAAAATGACTAGATCAGGAGGCTGAGATCTCAAGATTGTGGTTCAAAGCCAGCACAAGCAGAAAATTCCATTAGCTTCATATCTCTAACCAGCAAAAACCCTGAACAAGAGGCATGGCTCAAGTAGTAGAACATAAGCTGTGAATGAAAAAACTAAGAACACAAAGCCCCGAGTTCAAGCCCCAGTTCAAGGAAGGAGGGAGGGAGAGAGGGGTTAATTATCCACTATGTTCTCCTCAGAGAGCCTGACAAGAGTCCTGCAGTGCAGAATCACTTGGAGCAAGTAGAGGCCTTCTCAACATAGGCGTCTCCCCTCAGCCACTAAGACAGCTTCACTAACCTGAGAGGTACAATGAGGGGCTCATGATAAGTGACAGGTGGCCCACAGGACAGAACTGCAGGGAGGGTGACATGAACCTGATCAGGCAACCGCATGACCACCAGGCAGTCCAGTGCTCCAGAGCACACCAGGTCGGTCCAGTGCTCCAGATCTCACACAAGCACCAAGGCAAGGTCTCACACCTTTCTAAAGAAGCAAACTGCAGATTTATAGGTAGACTATCACACATTTTAGATACAGGCACAATTACATTTATCAATAAGGCTAGCCAGATGTATGTATCACAGCTTTGAACAAAATTCTGCTCTTCACATCATTTTCCAATTTCTGGAAAACTGAATCTACCAGCAAACATCCTAGCAAACATCATCTGACTGTACCCTAAGGTGTACATGGCAGAGCAGGTCAGGCTTTAATGACTCACTTTATAAAAGTGCCAGGAAAAGCCCACCTAAAAGCAGTCTGAAGGCCCAGGAGCGCAGCCCCTTCTCACTGTCAATACCCATAGAAGAGCTCCATGCCATTCACAGGCCTGCAGCACCAGAGTCAGCTTTTTCAGCCACACACCACCTCTGCCATACCTCCCTAACCTTCCTCCTTATCCTACCTTCAAAAAGGAGGAAAAGGCAAAGACAACAATCAAGTGCATTTCAAAGAAGACAGGATATCATACTGTAAGTGTCTCACATCTGTCAAAGAGGCTGATACAACCACACAGAACCATACCACAGACAAATTACAGTTGTAAAATTGCCATTACCAAAGCAGCAAAATAACACTTACCTTTAAACAATCAATCCAAAATTTCTCAAAATCAGTAAAGTATTCACTTAGAGTAAAACCATATAAGTTTGCCTAACTTTAATATAAAACAAAGCCATCTTTCCCCACTTAAAAGTTAGATCAAAGATCACTTTTACTAAGTTACTCTAGCAATAACTAGAACCTACATGTGCTAGCAGATGGCTGCAATCGCAGCACTCAGGAGCCTGAAGGAGGAGGATCATGAATTCAAGTTCAACCAGGGTTAAACATCAAGACCATTCTCAAAAAGCCAAGTAAATAAACAGAGAAGCAAAATGTTGAACCACAACACTGAATAAATCTACCTGAGCTGAAAATGACCCTCTGGCCCCATCTGGGGTGTCGCTGTGTGCCGCACTCTGGCAAACAACCCCAGCTCCCAGAAGCCCACCATCCGGGGAGGCTAGCGGACTCTCCTCCTGGATAGGCGCAACGAAAGCCGAGCCCTTCCTCTCCGCCGTCTTTTTCTTCGAATCCGCACCGTCACCTTTTGTTTTCCTCCGCCGGAAGTGAGCAAGCTGCGCAAAAACGTAGAGAAGTAGTAAAGGCAGAGGTAAGTGAGAAAAAAGTAACAGAACCACAAAGTCAACAGTCCTGTGGGGAGCATGAGGCTCAGGCCACACCTAGACAGCAAGCCACTTTCCCACTAACACTGTCCTCACTGACATCAGTGACACAAGCATTTCAGTTCAGAATGATATCCAGAGTCTATAAGTGAAGAGCTATTAATTATGCCCAGATACAGACAGATTCGCTTTTCTAACCCTCGGCAGTTTACAGACAATTAAACAATTTAAAATACATTGAGCACTTAATCCGCCATGCGTATGCCTTAAAACTATACAGAAGCTGCTATTGTTCCTCTCGCCCCCTTCCCCCAGTCCAGCCAAAACTTGCGGGTTCTGAAACAAGATACAGAAATAGCAGAGAATTAACGAAGCCAGGTCAAGCTAACGTCTTCCTTTCCGGAACCCGCTGCTCTATTTTTCACGACTAGCTCCGTGCCCCGGGGACCGGCAGAGGCGCCGCCTCGCTCGCTCGCTCGCCGGCCGCCCGGACCGCCCGGACCGCCGTCCCCCCGGGAGCCTCACTCGAGAGAGCAGGTCGCTTTCCAGAGCAGGGCGTGTTTCCTACACAGACCCGGCGGCCGTACGGGACAGGGCTTCGCCCCGCCGTCGTCCTCGGCCGCGGGGCCCCGGGCTCGGCTCCTCCGTGTGCGCCGCGCTGAGTG